ACGGTTTTCTTAGTGTCTATATCATTCCTTAAACTTACCAAGAACTTCAAGAGCTGTGAAATGTTATTTTTCGTACAATGGCTCCTAAACAAGCAGTTTGAATGTAAAAAAAACTGGTAGTTTTCTCAATTCTTAGTTTCATATGATTTAATCCTTACAAATGTCTAAATTCTCTCAGTATCTCAAATGAATGAATAAGCCAAACCCCAAAAACCTTCTACGCAAACGATGTCGCGCAGAGCTTTTGCTGATAGCTGGCTCTCATATGCGCCGTGACTTCTGAATTTGTTCTCGATGCGAGAGGGTATTCTAATGGTTAGATTGTTTATTTAAATGTTACATCAAGCGTGACACACGTTCTTACGTGGCAGTTATTTTTCCTCACACCAGAGCACAACTTTTTCAGCTCCGCTCTTTGGTTAGAAAAAGTGTAAACAAGTCATTGAGAATGCTAGCAACATAAACACAGTAACATTTTTTCCTCTAATACCTCTTGAAAGTATGGAGAGCATAAGAAAGGTGTATGAGTTTCCACATGCTATAATAACACAGATATCTTTATCACAAAAAACAGCTACTCCAAAAAAGGATGCAGCAGTGATTTTCCAAATTACAACTGGTTATAAAAGTTAGTATTCATAAAATTCATGTTCAATAGTCGCTCGTTAGCGCGCGGGTGTTGAGTTGGAAGTAATGTATGCAAAAACAGCAAAAATCTAAAGAAAGATGAATTAATGGATAAAAATCCGTGTTTTTCTTTTTTTTTCTTTTTTGCCCGGAACGATTTCGGACGGAGTATCGAAGAACGAATTGCGCTAGATTGCTTAACTAGGAAATAACAAGGGATACTTAAAATGTAGTTGTGTGGCCTCAGGCCTTGGCGAGGTCTCCGGTTGAACCTTACAAGAACGAATACCCGCTTGATAATAGAAAATTACGAAGCCCCCTTTGTAACCTGTACAGACGCGTGCAAGCAGAACGAGCACTGCAGTGTTGTTTGATTGGAGCACGTTTTCCTCATCAGGGTATAACGATTTAGGGTCCTAGTAAGGAAAAGAGGAAGTCCTTTGATCCGGTTATTGCTCTATAAGTTGTATCAAGTGGTGCACAAAAAATGTTTGCTATAAGGAACGCAAAGTCATGAGAAACAAAAAAGTGTTTGCTATTCGGAGACCTGAGGTCTCCCGTAGGCCTACGCTGGAGACCTAAATCACAAAAAAGTACAGCATTTTTTTCATTGATTTTTCAAAGACTTTTCAAGCATTTCTTCTACTCCTTGTTTGCATCTTTAAGCCAATTTTGATGAATGTTCATTGTCTAGTCGATAGGAAAAACCGGTTTATATGCATATTTTAAAATTCGTTTAAATTTTCCGCGCAAACGCCCGCAATGAAACAAACACCGAATCCAATACTGGAGCATTTTTCTGAACGTCACAGAGTGCGTATAGAGTTGAATAATAAGAGGAATGGTGGGGAGCTTTAACATTCTTCTTGTTAAGGAAGCAGTTAAAATTGACTAATAATACTAATATATAGTGATAAACTCCAGATTCCAACCCGGACCCTGTATGAGTTCCCCTTTGCTTTTTTTCACAAAAACGAATTCCAGCTTGCCTTCCGGAGACCTGACGCCGAGGTCTGTGGTTACTCTTTGCCGTTAGATTATCAAAGTGCGCTTTCAACGGTATTCTGCGGTATTATAAATTCTTGGGTGGTAGCGTATTATTTGGCTGACCTCGTTATTTCTTGACCTTACAGCGATTGCGGAAACGGTGCAATGTCAGCCAAAACTATGTGAAACACTAAAGAGGAATAATTAACTTGGTTTCAAAAACTTTGGGATGCTTGAATAACAACACTGGAAAAATAAACGGTGGAACGACTTCAGTGGCTTTGCTGGAAACATTGTACAAGTGATGCTATGTCTTCTTTTTGGGACAGAGAACAGGTGGCAGCGCCAAGTGTCATCACTTAACATTCGGGAAAATGTTTTGTGAAGAAAAATGGGTTCGTCGATACGATATATATTATCCACAGTTTGTTTTCTGTACAGAACGCTACTTTCCATCAATACTTCGCAACCCTATCGACATTTTAAAGGATTTTACCATGCATTCAGCATGATAGCACTATAGCTACTAACTATAAATTTTGAATGGGATATCTGTAAGGAAGTGAGTAAAATTCGCTCAGCAATCAATTATTCATGTCAACGGGTTCAATTTTTTGGCACGTTTCTACTGCGCATTCCAAAACGTCCTATCCTCCTCCCTGCGTCGCAAAAGTTTCGTATGAAACTACTCTGCGCACATCTTTGTATTATAATGTTAACGCGAAGGTATACGCATCGCATACGGTGGTCTTGAGGTTTCTTAAGACTGCGGCATCTTGCGCCGATGCACTCCCCACGCCGAGCGCCGCATGTGCAGTGCTGAGCCCTCATTGAAATAGACTATATATCCAGAATTAGAATAAGTGCTTTATTATGAAGGCCCAAAACTTGACCAATAGCAAAAACTGTCAAATTTATCTCATAAGGAGCTTCCTCTCAGCTAAAGGTGAAAGATCAATAACTTCCTTTCCTAAGGTACTCCAGGGGAAGTTCGGGAAGTCCAGGTGTGAATACTCTGACCGTAATCTTGCAATGGCGGTTTCCAAAAATAGGCGTCGATCCGTGTGTCCAAGCGCGACACACGGACGATGCACACTTCCATGTCCGTTGTGAATATGCTGGTTCGTTCATCGTCGTCGATTTTGTTACGAGCTGTTCCTCATTGATTATTCGCATCCATTCGCATCTGTTTATATAGTTCTAACACTAACTCTGAATCATGCGCCGATCGCCGTTTAGGGTTGAACACGACAGGGACATTGTCGACCAGTGCGTTGGTGTCGTGCTGCTTCGCGCCATCCGTCGTCGTCATCGTTCGAGATGGTGTTGAAGCCGCTCGAATTCTCTGAATGCATTGCCGATACACCATGGTTTCGTCAGAATTTACACGAACATGAAGTGGCTCTCGAGGATGCCTACAAGAGCATTAAGAATATCGAGACACAATGTCGGGAACTCATCTCTTGTACTAGAAGTGAGTCTTTTTGTT